AGGAGACTTGTGGGTAGACAGCTCTCCCTAGATCATCCATCTGGCCAATCCTGAGCCTGTATAGTACGCCCTTTGAAGCAACATTCCATAAATCCACAGGGGAGCTTGCAGTCTGTGGGATTCAGCCACACCTATGTGTCTGCCCCACCCACGGGTGGCATCATGACCTGTGTGTACCAGCTCTCATGCATTCACACACCCAGCGCATGAATCATGGCACGTCTGTATGTGTGGCCGTCCTTATATTCTGTTTGCACTTTGCACAAAAAGTGCAAAGAGGGAGCTCTGGTCAAGTGACGTCATGGATGTGTGTTTGTATGTCTGCGGCTAGGGGTTGGAACAGAGCCTCGTTCATGCTGGGAAAGCACTCTACCGCTGAGCCACACCCACCGCTCCAGTTTATTATTATTGGACAATTCCAGGGGCTCAATGGTCAGTCAGTTTAGCCAAAACACTGAGCTCCAGGTTCAATGAGAGACCCTGTCTCATAACATTAGGTGGAGAAGCAATTAAGGAAGACAAATCACACCAGGCCTACTTGAGATCCTTCTGCCTTGGTCTCCCAAGCTCTGGGATTACAGGTGTGTGTCACTACACCTGGCATTTTGGTTAGGATTCTTTTTGTTTTGGTTTGGTTTGGGTTTGGGTTTTCAAGACAGGGTTTTTCTGTGAAACAGTCCTGCCTGTCCTGGAACTCACTCTATAGACCAGGCTGGCCTCAAACTCACAAAGATCCACCTGCCTCTGCCTCCCAAGTGCACCACCACTGCTCAGCTAAGATTCTATTTTTTCTAATAATTTATTTTATTCTTAATTACATATTTTTGTGTGTGGCTCTGTGTGTGTGTGTGTGTGTGTGTGTGTGTGTGTGTATGAAAGAGAGAGGGAGACTGTGCACATAAGTGTGGGCGTCTGCAGAGGCAGGGGGGCATCAGATTCCTAGAAACTGGAGTTACAGGTGGCTGTGAGCATCTGATGTGGGTGCTGAGAACCGAACCTGGGTCCTCTGCAGAAACAGTCCACTGAGTCATCTCTCCAGCCTCTGGTAAAGATTCTTTTTTAAAATGACCTTGAGGTTTTTCAGTTACTTCCCAGTGGTAGCATTTAGCTGCTTCCCACTCCCCTGCTATTCCTAGAAGTGGATGTACATACAGCCCAAAGTCTGACTTGGATTCAGCTCAAGCATTCTGGCACCCAGTGAATGACACCATGCACTCATCCAGAAGCGCTGACTTCTAATTACCCCAGTATGTCCTGCTGAGGCTGGTCACTGCATTCAGGTGTGGCAGCCCAATTTCTTATTCCTAATGATGGGTTTGCTCTGCTAACCAAGCAATATGTGGAGGTGATGCTTGGGCAGGTCTGACTGAAATGTTTTATAAAAGTTTGGCACTTAGAGTCTTGAATCCCTTTGTAAAAGAGTAATCATTTCATCATTTCCAATCTCGAATGTTTCCACATCTGTAAAACAAACATCTGGCTGGGTCCTGTCCAGATCCAGTATGCTCCAGAAAGTGGGAGAGAGTGATCGTGCCACTTAGGTTTCTCAGTGCAGGGCCTGCCTGAGAAGCTGTATCTTCCTGCCCTGCCTCCTCTCAGGTAACGAGACCAACACTTGTATGTGCCTCAATGCCACGGTGTGCGAGGTCTTCCAGAAGGGCTACCTGATGCTCTACCCCTTCAGCACCGAGTACTGCCTCATCTGCTGCGCGGTGCTCTTCGTCATGTGGAAGAACGTGGGCCGCCGCCTGGCAGCCCACTCGGGTGCCCATCCCAACAGACCACCCTTCCGCCTGCACGGGGCCATCTTTGGTCCACTGCTGGGCCTGTTGGCACTTGTGGCTGGTGTGTGCGTCTTTGTGCTCTTCCAGATCGAGGCGAGCGGCCCTGACATCGCCCGCCAGTACTTTACCCTCTACTATGCATTCTATGTGGTTGTGCTGCCCACCATGAGCCTGGCGTGCCTGGCAGGCACAATCATGCACCGGCTGGAGGAGCGAGAACTGGACACACTCAAGAACCCCACCCGCAGCCTGGATGTGGTGCTGTTGATGGGCGCTGCCCTGGGCCAGATGGGCATCGCTTACTTCTCCATCGTGGCTATTGTGGCCACCCAGCCACACGAACTGCTCAACCAGCTCATCCTGGCCTACTCATTGCTGCTTATCCTGCAGCATATCACCCAGAACCTCTTCATCATCGAGGGCCTGCACCGCCGCCCCCTCTGGGAGCCTGTGCTCCCCGATGTGATGGGGAAGCAGGATGCTGAGCTGCCCCGCAGAGGTTCCCTGCGGGACCTGGGCCAAGACCTACGGAGAGCCTCGAGGGCTTACATCCACTCTTACAGCCACCTCAACTGGAAACGAAGGATGCTCAAGGAGATTTCGCTCTTCCTCATCCTCTGCAATATCACGGTGAGTATCTGAGCGGAAACTCGTGGGGCACGGGGGTGGTGGATGGACCCAGAGTCCCTTACTTAGGGAGTCACTCATCTCCAGCGATCTTGATGCTGCTTGAGAGCCAGGAATATCTCCAGCAGCTCCCTGCAAGCTGCCTGGCATGAGTTAATGTGCTCAGCATGTAGCAAAGCCCTCTATACAAATGTGTGTGATTCTGAACCCCAGAAGCTTTCAGTCTTGATGGAGAAGGAGCCTGTTAGAAAATGACCACTGAACTTATCATCCATTGAATTTGGCCAAAAGAACAGCCCAGAACTATTTATTTTCTATTAATCCCTAGAGGAATTGGAGGTCGGCATTGATCTCTTAGCTTCTGGTGGCTGCTAAGTCGCAGGCCCAAAGGTCCATGCACTATCTCTACATCTCCTGAATCATCACAGTACCTCCAAATGACAGGCAATGTTACTGTCCACCACCACCACCCCTTAGACAAATTGAAGCATATGTTGTCTGCTCAGACCCAGCTCTCACAGCCTGTAAGTGGCAGATATGGGACAACTCAGGGTTGTTTAGCTCCAAACCTCTAAAAGCACTGAAAACACAACCCAGATGTGAAACAGCTGGTCTATGCAGAGAAGAAGTGATAAATTGGCTTTGAACTGCATCAGGAATTCAGAGTCGGAAGCCTGTGTCCCAAGAGCCAAGGCTTGTTTCTGGAAGGTGGATAAGGTTGATCTGGGCTTTGGCAAATGTGTAGAATTCTCACAGGAGAGTAGGGGGCAAGGGGCATGCAGGTGGCTGCAACTATCAGAAATAGTAAAGCCTCAGCTCGGGGCTTAGGGCACAAACCGTCCAACTTGGCAGCATAGATAGCTGGCTAGGAGGTCCTGCCAAATGTCATGTATAAGGCAGCCCTTTGGGGTTCAGCCTGGCCTCAGGCAAGCCCAAGGTGGCCCAGACTTTCTGTGTCGGAGTGAGAAGGACACCAGGGCTGGGGACCTTGCTCTGAAAGCCCCAGGATGGTGGAATGTGAGCAGGCTGGTTCTAGGTCAGCCTCCCATGAGCCAAGCATCTTAAGATTTGGGAGAGCCCCCTTCCTCACCCAGCAGCCTCCTCTCTCTCCCCAGCTGTGGATGATGCCTGCGTTTGGCATACACCCTGAGTTTGAGAACGGGCTGGAAAAGGATTTTTACGGCTACAGGACCTGGTTCACCATTGTCAACTTTGGCCTGCCTCTGGGGGTCTTCTACCGAATGCACTCTGTTGGGGGACTGGTGGAAGTCTACCTAGGGGCCTGAGGGCCCAATGAAATCAACCACAGCAGAACCCCCAAAGTGCCAAGACAGTAAAAGGAGGCGTGGCCTACCTGGGCAGACACATCATCACATCACAGAGGTGCAGAAACCTGCTTGAGGTTCCCAAAGTGACCTTTCTTCAACCTGACTGAGAGGGAGGGTACTGCCTGGAGCTCAAAACCAAGGTCAGGGCTTGGAAGTGGAGCCTGAGCACGAGCCTGAGCACAAGCCTTCGCAGAGCCTCTTCGAAACAGTCCGTGTAATTAAGGATGTACCCAGGTGACTGGCAAAGGCTACTATCTGTGAGGGTCAGTGTGAAATCATGGAGTCTGGGGGCTGGGGCGGGGGGCTGATTCATCCTGTGGACGTGGCTGCTGGACATCCTGGAGGCTCAGGACTCCTGCTGGGAGCTCAGAACCCAGCACTCAAAGCTTGGCAGGCAGCCCTGCCCCTCTCCCCAAACACCCCGGCTCCTAATGAGCTCATTAATTAGCTGCCAGGCAGGGCTCAACAGCTCTCTCCTGCTTCCATAAACCCTGTTTGTTCGATCGATTCCATTCCGTCTCTGTGGCATTTGTTCCTGGGGACAGAACTGCCACTCCAGGTGTGGTGAGAAGAATGGTCCTCTCAAGCAAGACAGTCCTGTTCCTCAGCCAGGAGTGGTCTACACCAGATACTCTCTGTCTGATCCATGGACAGAAGCAGGAAGAGATGAGTCTAGGCTTGTACTGCCCTGACCTCCGCCCTTTGCCAGCACCGTCTCTTGGAACAGAGCCTCAGGGACATTATTGCAACTGGCTCACTATGGGTGGTCACTGCGGCCTCTGCCTGCCCAGTGCCCAGGCCTGCCTGGTCCTCGGAGCCCCTGGGTGGGGCAGGAAGGTGAGCAAGCAGGTAACACCAGCGCTCCATCCATCTCTCTGAGCCCAGAACAAATATGTGCAGGGCGAGGCCCAAAGAGTGTGGCCCTGGCCCTGCAACCAAGGCTCTGCCCTTCCCGGAATCCCCCTGCTCCCAGGAAGCCACACACTGTCAAACCAGGCCCCCTCAACACTGGTCCTGGCTACCTGAGCCCATGCAAAGAACTTAGCCAGGCCTTGGCCTCTCCTGTGTGGGCTTTTACTCTGAGTAGCCATGGCCAAACACTGGGTGACAGAGCCCAATCCTGCAGTCCCACACCCCCTCCATCAGTCATAGGGCGAGAGCCCTCAGGGAGTGAACGCTGGGGTGTAGAGTCCCCAACTGCCCTGAAGATAAGAGCCCCAGCCAGGCACCCCCCACCCCAACTCCAGGCACAGAGGCAGAGCACAGAGAGAGACATTTTATTGTGTAAAGTGGCCGATTGTACAGAGCAAAGATTGTACTGACAGGTGGGGGCAGGGGAGACCTAGAGGCCAGAGCTGGGGATGGTAGAATGTGGTACCCCACCGCCCGGGCAGTGGATAGGGCAGGGGCACTGACATCCTTCGGGCCCCAGCAGTCAGGCAATACCCACCGGCCCGAAGACGGTAACAGTGGACCCTCCATACCCCACTCCAGGTCCCTAAAGCCCACTCGCCAGTCCTGCTTCATAAGCTGCCAGCCCCCAGCCTCCTTGGCCAGCAGCTCAGCCATTCTTTCCCCAAGGGCCCCGGCAGGGAAAGGGCCTAGAACAGTAGTCTCAGGCTAGGTAGCCAGGACTTCCTTCATCATGACCAGGTGCCCCAAGGGACAGCACATGGCTCCTTTTTGGGAAAACCTAATTAGGGCACTGTGACCTGGCAGCCTCCAGGAGCAGCCGCTGGCACAAGGGCAGGTCTTGAAGGAGGAGCTGGCGTGGGCAAGGGCTCTGGTGGGGCTTGCATCTCTGGAGACAAAAGGCTCCTAGGAGAACAGTCTAGAGGGCAGAGGGGCACTTTTTTTTTCTTTCTCCCTGTCATCTCCAGCCACAATGGGCTCCTGAGACCTGCCATCCAGGACCAACCACTGTACTTGCCCTGATAATGGTCCTTTAAAGCTCGGAACAATGGGTTGGGAAGCCTGGGGTCTAGGACCAGCCCTCCTGGCCCTATTCCCTCGGGTCTCCATCCTCACACCCGCTGGATCTCGAACAGCTTCACATCTGTGTCATACCAGACGGGTGGGTCCACATTCCTATAGAGGGAGTGGGCTGTCACCTTCTAGAAGGGGGTACCTCAGAGCAAAAGAGTTAAGTAGCTACAAGACTCCCTGCCCATCCCGATGCCCCCACTCTGGGTGAAGAGTGCCCACCTTCAACCAGATTGGTTGGACATTAGTCCCACTATGGGTGGGAGAAAACCCAGAGCTAAATCCCTGGTGGGCATTCCTCAGGTAGACATCCATATCCACCCCAGGATGTAACTTCCCTACCCCTCACAGGGCCCACCTCAAATAGATGACACCCCACATGTAGGTTCGGAACCACATGGCAGTGCCTGAGTTCGCCTGGTACTTCCGGATAAGGATGGGGTGGGGTACAGGCAGAAGTCCCACTAGGGTACCATGCTGCAGGAACCTCAGAATCTCAGATTCGTCCGTCAGGCCCCTGGAGAAAAAGGTGGGGCCTCCAGCGTGTTTGTGGAGGACCCTGAGGCGTGTGCTCCCCATCACATCCACCCCAAGCCTGGGCCGGCCCCTCTCCAGGACCACCACCCCACCCAGCTTCCGGACTCACTTGTCAATACAGATCTTCTCCACCTGGGGGACCAACACCTGCAGCAGGCGCATGATGGTCTGCAGAGGCAGCTTGGACTTCCAGGACAAGATCTGCGAGAGCCACACCCAGAGCTAAGGGACAAGCTTGACCTTGCCCCAGAGCCACAGGCTCCCCAGGACGGGAAGTGTGACACTTCCAACAGCATGCATGGCCTGCATCAAGCAGGGCCTGTGAAGGGGAACTGTCGCTAATGGGAAGAGCCCAGGCCATGCTGAGCAGTGCCACAGGCCAGCTGCTGTGCCTCGTGCCTTCCGGAAGACCGTCCCCTTTAATCCTCACAATGGCTGGATGGCACGATCATAAGGATGTTTATTATCCCCATCCAGAGCAATCAGTGGGGCTCACAGGAAACACACAGGGAGTGGACGTGATTTGGGGAGGAATAAGCAAGGGTGATTGACAAAGGAATCAGTCCTGGGCAACTGCTGAAAGGTCAGGCAGGAGACGAGGTCACGCAACTGGAAGGACTGTCTCTCAGCCTGGCTCCTAGGCCAAAGGCCTTTGGTCTTCTTACCCTAGTCCTGGGCTGGAACTCTGACAGGCAGACCCTGTTCCATGCCACCCACCCAAACCCCAGTTTCCAGATCCTCCAGCGGTATCCCTCACCCAATCTGATGTTGGGCTCCACTGGCCACTGGCCGATGTGCTGGACAATCGCCGCTGATCTCTCCATGTTTGGCTGGGCTCCTGGTTCCCAGAAAGGAATGGAAGTGACCAGGGGAGGGATGAGGACAGGGTGCAGTCACAGAGCAACTACATGTCTCCTCTGACCCCACTCCAGGGAGACTGGCCGCACCAGAGAGGTGGGTCCAGTCCTGTACCCTTTGCCCTGGACCCAGGGCCCAGCCCAGCCCAACCCAGCTCAGTGACAGGTTTAGGACCAGGGGCTGACAGAGAAGGCAGGGAAAGGCTGGCCCCAGATAAGGCTGATGGATGAGGAGCCCGAAGGTCAAAGGGCTTTGCTGTGATCAGTAAACAAGAGAGAGGTCTAGAGACGGCCTCCTCCCCCAGGACAGCCCTGATTCCCTTGTTCTAATACTGCATCCGCAGAGTGTCCTGGCCTTGCCCGCTCCTGCACTTCGGGGTTCAAGAAGAAAGGCAACAAAGTGATGCTCAACACCATCCTCCAGGGTCCCCAGTACCTACCCCCTCAGACGGGCTGCCTTCTGCAGAGCTTGGCTGGGATTCAGGCTCTAGGGATCTCAAGGTTCCATCCTCTGAAACCTGGGATTTCTCTGTCAGCTTGTCAATGCCTGGGTGGGACACAGCGGGGAGAGGGGACATGCCACAGTGCCCCCTTCTGGCCGCAGAGGTTATGTGCTACCCATTCACGCAGAGGTGCTGTGTCTGCCCTTCCCTCCTAGAGCTTTCCGCTGTGATCCCTGTCTATGTCCCTTCCCTGACCCCCATCAAGCTACCTTCCTAGGCCCACACAATACTTCCACCTCCACATGCTGTGGGATTCCTTTTCCTCAGTTTCCCCCTGAGATCACACCCACTCCCCAACAGTGCCATCTCCAACCAAGACCCACACTCTCCTAGCCTGAAAGCATCCAGACCTGGGGTGGCCACCAGGCTGGTCTTAAGAGTGCCTGGTTCTGCAGGGGCGGCGGGGCGGGACCCCTCCATGGAAGCACCCTCCTGGGAGCCAGTGCGGGACAGGGGCTCCGGTGTCCTCCGCCGCCGCTGAAGGGCCTTGTGGATGGAGGGTGGGTCAGTGGGCAGGTTGGCCAGCTGGTGGAAGACTCCACGCTTTCGGATGATGGCGTAGACCAGGTTGGAATTGCCTGTGGGAGGAACAAGTCCATCCTCACTTTGCTTCGCACCCTGCATCTGGGATGGCTTCCAGGACTAGAGGGCGGTTTGTGAGACAGGAAGAGCTCTTCCCCAGGGATAAGGATAAGGGATAAGGGATAACCCCACTGGTACAGGGTGTACAGAGCAGGACAGGCCCAGCTATATGGGTGTCAGTGGCCACAGTAGATATGGGAGGTACCATCGTCCACCTGCGAGTTCCCACAGCTATCGAGAAGATGCAAAGGCTTCCCAGAGCCCTCAGTGCCCCCATCTACCTCTCTAGTCCTGGGGTGCACCATGCTGCTTTTAGCTTAACCTCCACCCCAGGGCCCTTCTCACATTTCCCTTCCCATGCAATGTTTCTCTGCCGGCCTTACTCTCATTCATCACTCTTACAGACCTCTAAATTTTACTTATTTTGGAAATAGTAATAATTGCTCGTATTTGGGTTGCTAGAGGCTGTGCCGAGTGCTTTTTCTGTGAATTACTAACCCCCCAAAATCTCTAAGAGAGGGCCTTTTTTGTGGTTTGTTTTTTGTTTTGTTTTGTTTTTTGAGACAGGGTTTCTCTATGTAGCCCTGGCTGTCCTGGATCTCACTCTGTAGACCAGGCTGGCCTCGAACTCACAGAGATCCACCTGTCTCTGTCCCCCGAGTGCTGGGACTAAAGGTGTGCACTCTGCAAGAGGGGCTTACAGCAGTATCATCATGAGAATCTTACAGATGAGGGGACCAGGCTCAGAGCCTGACATACTCATGGCCACAGAGCACATGGGCAGCAAGGTCTGGATCGGCACCTGTGGTACTGGTCAGGCACCTGTTGTGACAGCCAGCAGGCTCTTGTCACTTTGAGTTTTCCAGCTACCCAACTCTAAATGAACTCTTTAGGGTCAGGTTGTCATCCTAAAGCCTCCCTCTGTGACTCTATGCTCCATCTGTGAGCTCCAGGAGGGATGAAGAACATTATCTTTGATTCCCCGCTGCATCTCCCTATACCCAGGTACACTGCAGGTGCTTAATAAGTGCACACTGAAGGACCAAGCTAACAGGCAAGGTGCTAGGGCTTCCCCTAAGCTAAGCCAGGGGCTCAGGTCAGGCCTCACCATCAAACTGGTACTGGATAATGTTGTTGAAGACCTCCAGGAGGAAGAAGACCAAATGGTGGTTCTGGGACGCGGAGAAGAGGAACCAGGTGGTGGAGAAGGCCTCCAGCAGGTGTAGCAGCTTGTTGGCAGTCACCATGGACAGGCTCTTGAGGTAGGGCGACACTGTAAGGGGGAGTCAGCTTGTGCTGGGCCAGCCCTAAAAATTCCAGGCCGGGGCAGAACCGCTCACCTCAGCGGATTCCCCCCTGTCCCCAGCTCCCTGCAGAGCCCCCAAAGATGACGAGGCTCCAGTGCCCCCACCACCCCGCACCCTCAGAGGCACACTCAGCTCATTTCTCCCAGGCATCTCCCCAACACAGAGAGGCGAGGGACATGGACAAGGATGTAGATAAAGGAACTAGGGTTTAGAGAGGGCTATAAACTGAGCCCAAGTTCCCCAGCAATAAAATGGCAGGGCAAGAGTGCTAACATGGGATGGGTCAGGATGTCTTTCGGGAGTGACAAGCTGCTGTCATTAGATAGGTATCCCTCATGGACAGCTTTGTGAGGAGGAGTCAGAGAGGAAACCGCACAGCTTGACCTGTGTGTGTCCTTGTCGCCTGCCTTTCCCCTGGCTCCCCCGAAGGCCCCCCCCAGAGGGTGGGAACAGAGACCGTCCTGGTCACAGTGTGTCCTTGTCGCCTGCCTTTCCCCTGGCTCCCCCGAAGGCCCCAGAGGGTGGGAACAGAGACCGTCCTGGTCACACAGCCATTCTCAGAGCTGCCCATGCTCATTGGACACTCAGTTAGGACGTGTAAAATAGAATCAGCGGATCGACGAAGAGAAGGTGCAGGGCTCCCAACCCCACTGGAGGCCTTGGGAGGCACTGTGCCATCCCAGACACTCGAAGCACAAAGCACAGCATGGTCAGCACGTTAGCTAGTTTCTACTGCCACCCTGACACCACTTAGTCACCCGGGAAGAGACTCAACGTGGAATTGTCTAGATCACGTTCACGTGTGGGCACGTCTTGGGGGGGGGGGTCTTAGTTGTTAATTAAGGTGGGAAGAACCACTACGCATGTGGGTGGTGCCATTCCCTAAGCTGGGCCCTGACCAGTTAAGAGTAATGGAAGCCAGCTGCACCGATGCAGCCAGGCAGCAAGCAACCCATCTGCTAGTTTCTCTGCTCCTGGCTGTGGGTGTCATGTGACCAGCTGCTTCAGGTCCTGCCTTGGCTCTCCCTCAATGATGGGCTGTAACCTGGAATTATAAGCCACATAAACTTAAGGGTCTTTGCTAAAGCAACAGGAATATAAACTAGACCTATCGATGAACCACACTGGCCAAAAGACATCCACCAAAGCCATTCTGCCCAGCCGACTGCTACTCACCTTGCTGGACCCCCAACTAGCCTGAGCCCTCCTGCCGCCAATCCCAGGGAGCAGCCCGCAGCCCTTGAAGATGCTGTTGAAATTCCCACACTGTAACTCCACCAGCCCAAACCTTTACTACCCAATAAATAGGCAGCAGTCACATGCCACCATTAAATGTCTGCAATACAGCCAGTCTCCACTGAGATTTCCTGCGTGAACAGAACACACACAAGACTTGGAAGAATGGATATGAAACAGAACATAAACTGTCTCAGTAATTTTTATAGTTTCTTCATATCTAAGAGGTGGTATTTTGAATTTAGGAGATCAGATAGAGTGCATACTATAGCTTTTTAGAAATTGTATTTGTGTGTGCGTGTGTGTGTGTGTGTGCGCGCGCACGCGCGTGCATGCGTGAAGGTCATAGGACAACTTCATGGTGTCAGTTCTCTTCTTCCACTTTTACGCCGACTTGCGTGGCAAGAGCTTTTACCTGCCGAACCATTTCATAGACTCTAAAGCTTTTATCACCTGTCTTGTTGCCCCTTTTATTGTACTAGAAAAATTAGCGGTAACATGCGGCCGGCTATTCCAGGCGATAAAGCCAGGGGCCCGCTTGCTGGTTGGCCTGTGGCCTTGGTGCCACCTGCTGGTGAGCATGGGGAAGTTAGGCTCCAGGCCCCTACCGTTGACCACAATGGTGAGCAGGCAGTCGAAGAGGGGCTGCAGCCGCTGGTGACCACTGGTGATGATTTTGTGGAATACCTATGCAGGGAGGGAGAGGGACCGTGTGAATTACCCACCATCTCCAGACTCGGCCGATAAGAGGATGTCACCCCACGCCCCCAAGGCTGACCACGCACACCCCCTTACCACGATGAGCAAATCTGCATGTGTGCCGGTGAAGACAGGGATGTCCATGGGCACTCGCACTGAGTAGGGCTTGTTCAGTCGTACCCCAAAGTTCCTCTCCCCACTCAGAAGCAGCAGGATGAAGACCCCGATGTGCATCAGGCCCACCCGAGCTGAGGTACACACACAGACGGTGTCATGTGAGCAGGGAGGGGAGGTGGACAACTCAGCAAAGACTCATCTCCAGGGGCTCAAAGGAGCCCCTATGGAAGGTTAGCACACCAGACTGAAGTTTCTGGGAGGCAGGACAGACTGGCTGGAACCACCCCCCCCCCGAACCAAGACCCCGTATCTACCCCCCAGGATCACAGGCCCACCCGGTCATACATTGATCTGCCCGGGCGTCGTTGAGAAAATAGAGGATAGGGACCAGGATATCCAGCACGTCGCTGCTCTTCAGTACAAAGAAGAGGAATTTCTGGGAACGAGAGAGGGGACGAGTGAGCTGGACAGTGAGAAGACTAGCTCTAGCCGCTCTCTCCCACCGAGGCTGGGGAGACCCAGACGCTATGCTAGTCTTGGACTCCGTGAACCCCGCTAAGTGTCCAGCTATGCCCCTCCATGTCTGTTGCCCTTGGGGTGGGCCTGGAGTCCACTAACCTTGTTGAAGTCACAGAGTTTCCAGAAGAGAACGAGCAGTTCCTGGTGGAACTGGATTTTCTTTGTGGAGTTGGGAAGGTAGGTCTGGAGCAGGGGGTTAGACAGCAGCCGGGCTATCCCCTTGAGGATGAACTGGAAGTCCTGGGAGAGCAGAGCAGGGTTCCTTCCAGCCCGGCTGCCTACAGCCTGGATACCCCTGCAAATGTCTCCTCACTCTCCCCAATCTCCCATAACCTTTATCAATCTCCAATCGAGGGGCCGGGTTTGGACATTACTGCTAGCACACTGGAAAGCCGAGCCTCTGCCTTCCCACCAGCAAGTCTGAGGATCCCCTCTGCAAGGCTGCAGCTCCCGGTAACCCCCAGATGGACCCATGAACCGGGCTCCCTGGATTCCTTGTTGACAGGGACTGTCCTTTGCCCTGCCCCCAGCACCCCCATCCTTCCCCCCATCGCACACGAGAAGTACTCCCCAGCTCTCACAGATCTGTCCTTTACCGGGCACCCACCACCAGCTGGGCTATGCTCTACTTTGATCTGGGGTGGGGGGAGGCTGGCTCAGCTACAGTCCCTCACTGTGTATCTGCAGAAGTCAGAGTCCCAGGAACTGTAGCACCTCCCCTCTGCTTGAGTCTGCCTGGACATTAAGGCCACCTCTGAACCCCAACATCACAGCAATACCCCTCCTTTGAGAAGCCTTCTTGGTTACCTGGCCCAGATGGGGCTATGAGTCCTTTGTTGTTGGTTTTTTTCCCTTCTTTCTTTTATTTATTTACTTGTTTTTGTTTTGGTTTTTTGAGACAGGGCTTCTCTGTGTAACAGCTCTGGCTGTCCTGGAACTCACTTTGTAGACCAGGCTGGCCTTGAACTCACAGAGATCTGCCTACCTCTGCCTCCTGAGTGCTAGGATTAAAGATGTGTGCCACTACTCCTGGCTTACTTATTTACTTTTAAAGACAGGGTCTCCTGTAGTCCAGGCTAGCCAAAAATGACTCTGAACTTTTAAACCTCCTGCCTCCACTTCCCAGATGCTGGCTTTACAGTCACGTACCACGACGGCCTGAGTGTGTAATGCTGGAGATTGAAGTCAGGGCTTTGTGCTGTAGGCAAGTGCTCTACCAACTGAGCCACACACCCCCAACTCCCATCAACCCTTTCTGTGCCTCGAAATCTCCCAAGTATTGCCATCACCGCTTTACTTAGGTGAGCACGTTCTTTCATGCAGGGGGACAGGACTCCTCCATGCCCTCAAAGCCACAGCCACTGGAGAAGGTGGGCAGATAGACCTCCTCCAGCTGTGCCTGACTCACCTCCTCACGATGAATGCGGGACAGGTAGTTCACAAACAGGTTCTCAGGCCCTGGAGGCTGCCAAAGGGAGGACCGTGGTGAGCAGACCCTCCACTCTGGTCTGCCTGGGTGGTGGCAGCTGAACCCCCAGGCACACCATGGGGTCCCGCCCGTGGTGTGCCTCTTGCCCAGGGCCTCTGCTTAAGGAGATACCATCTGCCCCCAGCCCTCCCTCCACCCGGTCCTTACATCAGCATCATCCATGGCAGTGCCCGTGGTGGTGCCATCCACAGTGGGGGTGGTGCTGGTGGCACTGTCATGGTCCAAGGTGACGATAAGCACCTGAGCAGCCTCCTCCACCAGGGGCTCGCGGTAGTCGGAGAAGAGCAGGTGGTTGTAGGGGATCCCGTAGCCCACAGGGTCATAGGCACACACGGTGTTGAGGAGCGAGGTGAAGAGAGGCAGTGCGTGTCTGCAGGGGAGAGCAGAGCAGGGCTCAGGGATGCGCCCCTGCGCACACATCTCCGGCCACAGAAGGAGCTGCTGAGCTACTGGGCTCCAGACTGGAACCTGGGAGGCAGAAGTTCGAGCTTGTCCTTTCCTGAGTAGATACGGCCCTCCCTATCCATGCGTGTGACTGGCCCTGACCAGGGCCAGGCTGCGCCAAGAGCAGAGGAATCGATCAGGGTGAGGGGCTCCTTGTGGAGAACATGCTCACACCCTTTTCAGTTCTCAGGGGCTTTAGACAAGGGGTTAGAAGTGCAGGGGAACGCAGCCTCCCCTTAGGGAGCAGAACCCAGTTCCATCCCCGGCTCCCAAGCCACAGGATGACTTGAATCAGAAGGTGTTAGGGTTCAAGATCCTCATCTTACAGGTGAGGAGACTGAGATCCAGCAGTTAAGTGGACAACAAAGGGTGGCAGCTTGCCTGATGCAGCTATGAGAAGAAACTGGCCAGCCTCTGATTGTGACTGGTGTTGAGGGGTCACTTGGGAGCCCTTCACTTTCTGGGAGAAATCCAGCAGGAAGCCAGCAAAACACAGAGGAGGGGAGCCACGCTATTCAGAGATCGGAGTCCAGAAGCAGGAAAGCTACAGGTTTTAGAATGCCCACGCCTGTGCCAGCATTGTGGCCACAGCTGGAGTGTACGCTTCAAACACTGTGTCGCGGTGATGACTGTGTGACACCCACATGTGCTCCTAAGTGTCCCTACATCCCCTGAGTGCCCACCATGGTCCAGACCTCTCCATCCATCAGGGTGGTCCTCAGACCCTCCTCTCCACCCCTGACCCAAAGGACGACCACAGGCCACATGTGGCTGGCACTGAGTACTATTGAGTGGTTGGTCCAGATGAAGCATGCTGGAAGTACAAACTACACACCAGATTTGGGGACAGAGAATGAGAGAAGGAAATGCAAGCGATCTTGATAGAGGGAGGCAGAGGCAGGAGGATCTCTGTGAGTTCGAGGCCAGCCTGGGCTACCAAGTGAGTCCCAGGAAAGGCGCAAAGCTACACAGAGAAATCTTGTCTCGAAAAATCAAAAAAAAAAAAAAAAAAAAGATAGATCCATAAACTCATTACAAACTTAATGCTCACTTTTTAAAATATACTGAGTTAAATAAAATATATAAATTAGTTTTCTTTCTTTTTGCTTTCGATTCAGGGTCTTATGTACCCCAGGCTAGCCTAAAACTCACTAGTAGCCAAGGATGACCCTAAACTTCTTGTTTCTTCTGCTTCCACCTCTAGAGTGCTGGGATTGTAGGTGTGCACCATCACACCCAGGCCATGTGGTGCTGGTGGTCACACCCAGGGCTCCATGCATACTAGGCAAGTACTCTTCACACAAATCCATCAAATTCCTCACATTATATTTCTAATGAACAATGGGATTCCAGATGGATGACCTGGACCTGGGCCACCCAGGGGTCCCCAGGTTTGAAGGCCGTGATGGTTCAAAGGTGTAGCTAAGTTATGGTTTTGTGCCACCAGGGGGCAGCACCTCTCCTCAAATGAAGCCAACCGGGCTGGCACTCCTCTTACTCATAAGTGACTAGCGCAGCCTCTCACCTGTTTTCTGTGGAACAAAAGAACTGAACCCAGGGGTTGGTGCTGCCACTCTCTGGAGATGGGGGCAGGTACATGGCCTCTGAGAAGCATGTCAACAGCAGCTTCAGCAGCTCCATCCTGCAGGAAGGACCAGGAAGGGTACATTAGGACCTGCCTCCCTCTAGGAGGAAGCTGCCAACATTACCCACCACCCTGACCAAGGTCCATGGGGAAAATGACCCCTGTTCCTCCCTGTAAAGCCGAGGCTGGATGATAAATGGGCTGGGTCTTTCGGGAAGACCCTGTGGGCCTCTGAGCTATGCAAAGCCCAGCCAGGGTCCAGCTCACCGGTTCATGTCGTGGATGTAGTTGGGCTGTGGGGAGTGAGCGAAGCCCACACCAGCCTCCCAGATGTATTCACAGCTGTCCAGGGAATGGACATCTTCTGCTGAGTCCTGGGAAGAGGGAGTGATTGCGGGGGGGGGGGTAACCACAAAATAAATAGCCACGTGAGGCAGGCCCAGACTACCCAAGCTTCCCACTGTCTCTAGTTGCAGCAACATACCCCAGTATTCTCCTAAAGACAGCCCCCACCATGCCCTAGGTCCTCATGTCCGAGGAGAGACGGATTTCTCTGGGAGCTCACTTTTGTACCGTCTTTTGTTGATCATTTTACTTTCTGAGTCCAGTCTGAGGCAGGGAAAGGAGGAAGGAGAAGGTGGGGGGGAATAGGGTGCGGCAAGTTGAGGGGAGAAAGCATTCCTGGTGGAGTCCCTGAGTAAAAAGTCGGGCTTCCTGGTTGCAGCCCTGCACGCTCCCACCTCAGGCAGAGAGGACAATGGGTGCTTGTGCAGGCTGCCTGGGAGGCAGGGTCAGGCCGGACACCAGCTGGCTCCTCTCCAGCTGTGCCACCCCCACCCCACCCAGGATGTGCACACCTAAGAGCCATGCTCCCTGAACCTGCCCTGCTTCTGCACCCTGTCTCTCCTGGCCCCAAGAGCCCAGCACCCCGGGGGGGGGGGGTGTCTCACCACGTTGTTCCTCCGGTGGCTCTGCACGGTGAAGTCTGGGCAGAAGAGCAAGTCGGCGATGGCCAGGAGCAAGGACTCGGCCAAGGGTCGAGCGTTCTCATCTTCCTCTTCACCCTGCTAGGAGAGACACAGGCTGCTCAGTGGAGGCTGGCCAGGGAGAGGTGGCCCCGGGGCGTGGGGGTGCAGGGGACGGGGACCGGGTCCCAGCAGGCAGGCGTGGACAGAGGGAGGAAGAGGAAATGGATTCCTGCTTACCCCAAATCTCCCTTAACCAGAAGAGAGCAGACAGACACAGGAATTAGGGAACAGTGAGGAAATGCCCCCCTCACCAGGGGTGCCGGGCACCAAGCTCAAGTGTCTCAGCCCTCTTGGGAATCATGGGGTCTCAAGCCTTGGCACTTGCCTGGAGATAAGCCCAGAGCAGATGGAGTCTGGGAAACGGCAATATGGTCCCTCTGGACCTTCTAAAGACGTCACTGGGCCTTATCCCTGTACTCCTGCTCCAGGATATAGGGGGCAAAGGCCCCTTGGGAGGAAAACTGAGGGCCGGAAAAGTTGGTACTGGCTCCTCCCCCCTCCGTGGCACCCTACCCCTAATCCCCATCCCACACTTCCTAAAGAGCAAGGGCTCTGCCAGGGTCCTCCCACCCCCTGGCCAGGCCCACAGACCCCTCCACGCCCTGCCCCGGGCACTGTGGACCAGAAGAAGCCCCTCCAGTCGGGGTCCTCGAAGATGTAAGGCAGCACTCGGGTGAGCAGCCGGCTGCAGTTCAGGACGACCTGCTTCTCCTTCTCCGAGTGGCAGCCACTCTCTGCTCCTTGGACCAGTTTCTCCACAGCCTGCGGGGACGGACAGCAAGGAAGGAACATGTGACGTGGCCCTTTGGGTTCAGGCCACCCAGGCTGTAGAGCTAGTTCATGGGTGGTGAGACGTGGTTAAAACTCAAGCCTTTAATCCCAGCACTCAGGAGGCAGAGGCAGGTGGATCTCTGTGAGTTCAAGGCCAGCCTGGTCTACAGAGCGAGTTCCAGGACAGCCAGAGCTGTAACACAAGAAACCCTGTCTCAAAAAACAAACAAAAAACCAACCCAGAGCATCAGAATAGTAAAGTCCAGTTCCCTGGATGACCATGACATCATCTGTGGCATCCCTTCCTTGAAGAGTGTGTACCCACACTTAGGTACATCTTATTTTCTTCTGAGGGCCTCTTTTTCTCCTAATCCTTTTGTTTAACCCTATTTTTAAAATAAATAAATAAATAAATAAATAAATAAATAAATAAATAAATAAATAAATAAATAACTTTTTTAAAAATTAAAAAAAAAAAGACAGGGGCTGGAGAGATGGCTCTGAAGTTAAGAATGTGTGTTGTTTAACCAGATACAGTGGCACAAACCTCTAAGCACGGGGCCCAGGAGGCAGAGGCAGAGGCAGGTGGCTCTCTCTGAGTTCAAGGCCAGCCTGGTCTACAGAGTGAGTTCTAGAACAGCCAGGGCTGCACAGAGAAACCCTGCCTCAACAAAACAAAACAAACCCCACTTGTCCTTGCAGAGGACCCAAGTTCAGTTCCCAGTACCTCCATGGTGGCTCACAACCATTCATTACTCCAGTTCCAGGGGATCCAATTCCTTCCTTTGCTCTTCACAGGCATCACGCATGCATACAAAACATATACATACATGCAGGCAAAACACTCACACACATAAATAAATCTAAAATTTTTTTTAAATTTTGCAATAGAGAAAATAACAACAGCATCATACGGGGAAAGCGAAGTGAGCTAGTGTGTGGAAAGAGCCACCCAAGGCGAGAAAAAAAAAAAAAAACGCTCCTAGTGGCCATGGCTACTTTCCCCTCAATCCTACCGAGGAGAGCTTGATGCAAAGAGACTGTTCCTCCAGGACCTGGGATGAGATGCTCCGAATGTGTGCCCTGCCCTGCTGCAGACAGGGCCACTCACCACGCTGGGGAGCGGGGACGCAGCAGTGAGGGGCCAGACAGCCCTTACCTTGTAGCACAAAGTGGCCAGGTTAGAGGGTGACTCCTCCCGCACAGCCCGGATCTCTGCTGCTGGCACCAGCGCAAAGACATCTTGCACCGAGGTGGCCGTGTCTGCCCAGAACTGGTCCCAGAAAGCATCATCGGTGGCTTCCACGGGCTGCAGGGGAATCCAGTGTTCAGAGTTACACAACTCCTTCCCGACGGTCACCCACAAACCCTGGCAGGGAGACCATAGCCACTACCCTGCATCCCAGCCAGCACCCAGGAGCCTCCCAATCTGGATGAAAGGCTTATTCAGATGCCACAAGACAGGGTCAGAAGTGAGACAGATGTGCATGGCCAAGGGGGTCAGCTAGGCACTAAAGCCAATTGAGTCCCCAAGGTCTGTGTCTCCCCAGCAAAGTCCCCATGCTCCTCTGAAAGAGAAACCGACATCCTCGGCAGGCCATATCCCAAGGCCACAGCAGGAGGTCAAGTGTCTAGGGTCTAGACCAGGGCTTTCCCCAACGGAAGATATCGAAGGGTCTATGCACCCGTATACCGTCACCAACGCTGTCTTCTCTCTCTCAACCTTTCCCAGCACATCCACCAAGCACCAACCCCAGTGAGCTCACTGACCCCTCCCCACAGCACCCACTGCTGGCCCACGCTGCGGGTCCAGTCACTTTCTGGGAGCTCCAGCCTCCAAAGCTACCTCTCTTGGTGCTGTTTGTACACTGTCCCCCACGCCACACACCAAAGTAAATGGCCAAAGTCACATACAGGCCTTTGGGGTCCCCACCGCCTGCCAAATCAAGTCTATACATCAGCTCAACTCTGTTGATAGAGTGCTTGTGTAGTGTGCACAAAGCCCTGGAATGGATTTCCAGCACTGCACATTAAAACTGGTGGTGAGGGCCTGTAATCCCAGAGCTTGGGAAGATTAGAAGTTCAAAGTCATCCTCAACTACATTGTGAGTGAGTTCAAGGACAGTCTGAAATTCAATTACCATGTCTCAAAACAGCACACACACACACACACACACACACACACACACACACACACACACACACACACACACACACACAAGCCAGGCAGTGGTGCACTGGACAGGCAGAGGCAGGCAGATCTCTTTGAGTTCAAGGCCAGCTAGAGCTACCCAGAGGAAACCAAACCAAATCTTTTGCTCAGGCTGTCCCCATTTCCCAGCATAAGCTTCTCATTTCAACAGTAATTACAAAGTCCTACCAGTTTGGGGCTTGAGAGACAGCTCAGCTGATAGAGTTTGCCACCAACCCTGATGACCTGAGTATTGAACTCAGGATCAATACTTATCAAAAGGAGTAAACCAACTCCTACAAATTGTCCTCTGACAGCCACACATGTGACTTTGCACAAATGTAAACCTTCTTCATACACACATACACATACACATACACACACACACACACACACACACACACACACACACACACACAGGTTTTTTGTTTGTTTGTTTGTTTGTTTGTTTGTTTGTTTGTTTTAACAGGCCGGGTGTAGTGGCCACACACCTTTAATTCCAGCAGGAGGGAGGCAGAGGCAGGCATATCTCTGTGAGTTTGAGGCCAGCCTGGTCTACATAGAGTTCCAGGATTCCAGGATAGCCAGAGCTATATAGTAAGACCCTATCTCAAAAACAAACAAATAAACAAAATCCCAAAGGTCCTATTGAGACAAGCCTTAAAAAATATATATGCTCATGGGAGCTGGAGAGATTACGAGGGCTCAGAGGTTAAGAGTGCATGCTATTCTTCCATGGGATTCAGGTTTTGTTCCCTATAACTCCAGTTCCAGGGGATCTGATGTCCTCTTCGGGCCTCTGTAGGCACATGCACATTTGTGGCACACACACACAAAGAAATACACATAACTGTGGTGGTATTGTATTCCCCGAAATATTGTACATGCTAATAAACTTATCTGCGTGAAAGAACAGAACAGCCATAGATACAGAGGCCAGAAAATGGTGGCACTCACACCTTTAATCCTAGCATTTCAGAGGCAGAAATCCCTCTGGATCTCTGTGAGTTCAAGGCCATATTGGAAACAGCCAGGCATGGTTGACACACGCCTTTAATGCCAGAAAGTGAGCCTTTAATCCCAGGGAGTGATGATAGAAAGCAGAAAGGTATATAAAGCATGAAGACCAGAAACTAGAAGCATTTGGCTGGTTAAGCTTTCAGGCTTTCGAGCAGCACAGTTCAGCTGAGAGCCATTGGGATGAGGACACAGAAGCTTCCAGTCTGAGGAAACAGGATCAGCTGAGGAACTGTCGAGGTGAGGAAGCTGTGGTTTGTTCTGCTTCTCTGATCTTCCAGCATTCACCCCAATACCTGTCCTCAGGTTTGATTTTATTAATAAGACTCTTTAAGATTCATGCTACACATAACTAAAAATAAAAATTTTAAATATAAACTTGTGGTCTTTGAATCATATAGACAGTCCCACAAGTAAATGACCAAGGCAACCAGTTTAGATGATAAATTTCATTTATAGAACGTCCGCCGTCCGCCCTCCGCCCCATGCTGGATAGTTTTATGTCAGCTTGATGCAGACTGGGATCATTTGACAGGAGGGAATCCCAATTAAGAAAATGCCGGCCGGGCGTTGGTGGCGCATGCCTTTAATCCCAGCACTCGGGAGGCAGAGGCAGGCGGATCTCTGTGAGTTCGAGGCCAGCCTGGGCTACCAAATGAGTCCCAGGAAAGGCGCAAAGCTACACAGAGAAACCCTGTCTCAAAAAACAAAAAACAAAAACAAAAACAAAAAAAAAGAAAGAAAGAAAATGCCTCCAGCTGGGCATAGTGGTGCACACCTTTAATTTCAGCACTTGGCAGGCAGAGGCAGGCAGATCTCTGAGTTCAAGACCAGCCTGATCTACATAGTGACTTCCAGGACAGCCAGAGAAACCTTACCTTAAATAAATAAATAAACAGAAAAAAAGAGAGAAAGAAAGAAAATTCCTCCATAAGATCAGGTTGTAGGCAGGCCTGGAGGACATTTTCTTAATTAGTGACTGATGAGGGAGGGTCTAGCCCAGCTATCACTAGGCTGGTGGTCCTAGTTCTATAAGAAAGCAGGCTGAGCAAGCCATGGGGAGCAAGCCAGTAAGCAGCACCCCTCCATGGCCTCCGCATCAGCTCCGGCCTCCATGTTCGTGCCCTGTTTGAGTTCCTGTCCTGACTTTCTTTGATAATGAACTGTGATGTGGAAACATCAGCCACACAAGCCCTTCCCTCCTCAGGTTGCTTTGGTCATGGTGTTTCATCCCTAGGTACAGGCCCGCTCCCACCTGGGGACCTCCAGCCCCAATCTCCACTCATCACCTTTTTTGTTTTGTTTTGTTGTTTTTCCAGACATGGTTTCTCTGTGTAGCCCTGGCTGTCATGGGACTCACTCTGTAAACCAGGCTGCCCTCTTACAGAGATCCACCTGCCTCTGCCTCCCGAGTGCTGGGATTCAAGGCCTGTGTCATCACCACCTGGCCAAATCATCCCATTCTTGACTCGGGTCTAGATGGGCTTGCCCCAGCCCGGCAGCCCTTTGTCCCTGATCTTGCCGTTGAGGCAGATGGCAGGTGTGCTGAAGTTGTCATGAATCCTGACAAGGCTGAGTGCCAGGGGGCTGCCCAAACCCAAGGCTGGGACTGCACGCTTCACCAAAGTGCCCACTCCCTGAACAAAAATCCCCCCACTCCACTCTGGGGAGTCCTAGGGTAACTTGTGGCTGCAGCCTCAGTCCCAGAACTGGTAGAACAAGTTAGCTGGAGGTAAACAAAGGCCAAGGGAGAGGCCCTGGAGCTCGGGTTTGCTGGACCTCAGCTCCACAGTCATCTGATATGTATGGGGGGTGGGGAGGGCCAGAGCTGGGGACCCCAGTCCTAGAGGCCTGGAGCCAGAGTGGAGTGGGAAGTCATCCTCAAAAGGCCTGTGGAGCTCCCCTCACAGGGAGCATGTCTGGAAATCTGTCACCTCTGATACTCAGCCCACCTCCCGGGTAGTCACCACCCTTAAAGGGGCAAAAGCCCAGCTGAGCACAGATGGACCTGATCTCTGACCTAGTTCATTAGGCAAGCATCACGGACTGAAATCCAAATTCGACTTAAGAGGGGCCTTAGAGGTCAAATCTAGAAGCAGAGGGGAAACACTTCAGAAAGAAGCTATTATCTTCCTGCCCACCCCAACCTTTTTCATGTAGCCAGGGCTAGCCTGGAATTCTCTGTGTAGACCAGGCTGGCCTTACAACCATAACCCTCCAGCCTCAACCTCCCAAGTGCTGGGATTACACTACACCTGTCTGGAAATCAAACCTTCACACCTTCACGTCCCCCACTCCCTCTCATAATGGAGACTGAACACGGGATCTCAGGATTCTTCATCTCAGCTTGCAACCTCCTCCCCTGATCCCACTGTGCCTTAGGCATTTGCATAGGCTGAGGGAACCAGATGTAGCTTTTAAAAATCAGTTTATTTTTTATTTATGAGTATCTCTCTCTCTCTCTCTCTCTCTCTCTCTCTCTCTCTCTCTCTCTCTCTCTCTCTCTCTCTGTGTGTGTGTGTGTGTGTGTGTGTGTGTGTGTGTGTGTGTGTGCATGCACACATATGAGGGTGCTCACAGAGGCCAGAAGAAGGTGTTGGCTCTCCCAGAGCTGGAGTCATAGGCAGTTGTGAACCACCGGATGTGGGTGCTGGGAACCACTCTTCATGTGAAAGGGTATCAAGCTCTCTTAACCACTGAGCCATCTCCCCAGCCCCCAAGCTGTGGCTTTAACAGTCTCCTTCTAGGGTGGGGTGGGAAGGGGGCAAAACCAGCTGTGATCTAGCCTGAGGAGGATGATCTGTCCTGACAGGTGATCAAAGTGTTCTAAGCACACACTTGCTTGCATGTGAACACACGCCTATCAGCTCTTACCCTGGCCTGCAGCAGAGCATCCTCCAATAGGCAGGATGGAGCAGTGGCGGGAGTAGGGGGGTAAGGGGAGTGGACCTCTGATCCTGTAATGCCCCACTCTGGGGCCCCAGCCAAATAAGGAGACAGGAAACACAGCCAATGTTGCCGGCCTCAGGGTCAGGGTCAAGCCCGGCCCAGGACTGGCCACCAGGGCAGGAAGAAAACAGGATGCAAGGCAGGAAGGCAGGGAAGGCTGACCTGCAAGTGCTCAGGCCCAGCTACAGGAGAGAGTCCACTGTCTACTGCCCAAAGCACAGCCTCTGAGGGCCTGGAAGTGTGGGCGTCCTGTGATCAGCACACCTGAAGCACCTTGGGAATACTGAGTGAAGGTCCAGGAAGACCATCTCAGATCCTTGAATCCCAGCTGCCCACCGCTGATCACTACAGGGTCCAAGGCTTTGGCCCCCTCCCACCTGTGAGAGTCCCATGCTTATGAAAAGACCCACTGGGCTGGTGAGATGGCTCAGCAGGGAAGGCTCTTGGTAAAGGCACTTTATGCTTGCTGGCATGCAAGGCTAACAACCTAAATTCAATCCTTAGGATCCACCTGGGGGAAGAAGAGAGCTGACTCCCACAGGTCGGCTTCTAACCCCCACACATATACCATGGTGCACATGTATATACACCTACACACACACACACCAAAAATAAATAAATAATATAAATTGAAAAGGGGGAGGGGGAGGGGTGGGGGAGGAAGAAGAGGGAGGGGGGAGAGGGAGGGGAAGAGAGAAGTACCCCAGATTGGGTCTCCAGCATACTCTAGGCCCCGGTCCCAGCAAGTGACTGTCTTCAGCTAAGGAGGACAGACCATCTCAGCCAGGAAAAGAGAGATGGATGTAGTACTCAGGGGCAGGGGGTGCCAAAGCAGGTCACTGCCCACCTTCCTTCACCTCAGTTCACCCTGCTCCCAAAAGACCTGCTGAGCCCACCACACCTTCCAGCAGGCATTAAACGCGGGAGACACCATCCCCCTCCCCGTCGCCCCACACCATCCTTTTCTGCTGCCCACAGACCCAGAGTCTCATCTCTGAGGTTCTGGAACAAGTCGTGGGGAGCAAAGAGAAGTTCTGGTTTTTATCAAGTGCCTCTCAGCTGGAAATGGGCTCTCTAGATAGAAGGCTGGCATTTCTTTTTTCAGACCCTGACCTTTCCAATGGTGAGTAGCGGAGTGTGGGAGTAGAGGTCTGCCCTCTGAGGCTATGACTGCCTGGCTGTGGGAAGACGGCTCTCCTGATCCCACTCCAACTGGCCAAGAACAATATAGAGCTCTGAGAACAGCAGGATGGGGGGAGGGCTCCAGATGGCAGGTGGTCCAGAGCCCTTTGACAGTCAGGGCCCCGAGAGGCATGGCTGGGTATCTCTATGATTATAGTAGCCTGGTTCCGGGGAGGGCAAAGAAGGAGCCTTGCTGGGTCAAGAGGTGTGTGCTGGAGATAGGAGGAGGCTTCTGTGACACTTGTGGACTCAGGGGGGAATGTGGGAAGCATGGACTGGGATGGAGGTACCTATGGCTCCCTCTCCAACAGACTAAAGACAATTTGGGAGTCCCTCCTCATGCCCGAACCCGGAATCCCCATTTCGGGTACCAGAAAGCACAGCCAATCAGCTCCACCAGGCCTGGAGAAGCCCCTGGAGCATCCCTAGCTGGAAAGCTGGTTTCCCTAGGCCTGAGGACAGCTCCTCTTACCCGGCTGCCGCTGCCTGCCACTCTAGGAGCTCCCAGGAAGACCTGGGCCTTCCCTGCCCGCAGGCATCTACCAGGGCCCAGAGAGGCCGCCGCTGCCACCGCACACCAGCTGTTTTCCCCGACCCTAGCAGGCGCCGGCCCGGCTTTGTTTGCATTGAGTCAGCCCGGGTTGTGCGTCCGGGACCGTGGGCACCGAGGGCAGGGAGGAGAGCAGAGCGATGGATGGGTAGGTGGGAGCGGGAAGAGGCTGCCTATGTGAGGTTGCCGGCACTGGGGGGCGGGACAGGGGGCGGATAGCGTTGTCGCCGCCGGCTTCAGGAGTAGGCACACGTCAGCCTAAGGTGGCAGCAGCAGTGCCCGGGAGAGTGTTCCCAGGGGAGAGGAGGCTTAGGGTGGGCTCCCAGAGGTAGAGATGGAGCCCTGAGGTACAGAGGGAAGATCGCGTTCGGGTGCTGGTCTCAGCATCCCCCTCTGGACAAGCCGGTCACCCTACGCTCCAGTGAGCCAAGTTCACCCCAGCCCCCGTCACTGCCCTGCCCCCAAGCCGGGCAGGTGGATGAAGAGGCTGGGCCCCCGCGCGCACCTGCGTCTTGGTGGTCAGCTGGATCACAGCCTTCCGGAAGTTCAGCTTGGAGTCTGCGGACCCCATGTCGATGGAGCCCGCTCCGGCCCAGCCCCGGGTTCCGACTCTGGCGCGGACTCCGGCTCCGGTTCCAGCTCCAGCACCGCGGCCCCAGCTGCTCTCGGAGGAGCAGAGCTGCGAACCCCGCCCGCCGCCGGCGTCGGCCCCGCCCCTTGTGGCCCCGCCCCTAGATCCGCCCCCACGAGGCCCCGCCTCTGCACCTGCCGTTCAAGCCTCTGGAGATGAGGTCCAGAGTTCTCTGTGGAACCCAACTCCCCCGGGTTCCTTCGGCCCTTCGTACTACAACCGAGTGCTGTCCCTATTCCATCGCCCCCTTCTGTCCTTCAGTCCCCGAGACCGAAATCCTCCTAGCATCTCATCCCCTGACTCCACTTTCACTCTGTCCGGGGCCTGCAGTTTCTCCTCCAGCCACTCTGACTTTCCTGCTTCCATATTACTACTATTATTGTTGGTGTTTGAGCATTTGTTTTTTGGATTTTCTTTTCTTTTTTCTTTTTGGTTGTTATTGTTGTTGTGGTTTCTCTTTCTGACCTGTCCATCCTTGACCCAGCCCTGCAGTTACTCTAACCACAGCTGCAGGTTTAGCCCTTGCGTGTGTGGAAGAAGAGGCTGACTTAATGTCTCTGCTCCAGGAAGGCAGCTCAGCACCTAGCTGACAGTGAAAGAGCCCTCGGGTCTTGACCCCTCTCTAGTCCGATGGCTTTCCTGGGAACTCCTTGGCGTGCAGAGGAGTTGGTATACAACACCGTGTCCCTGTAGACCACAGCACAGAACCTGTTCTTAGGAGAAGAAAGGAGTTACCCATGGTATAGCCCAGTACACTTTGTTTTGAGAGTTTTATCTTAGGCTGGCCTCAAACTCACTGTTCCTGATTATGAACTTTTAATCTTATTTCCCAAGTGCCAGGATCACAGGCGAGCAGGCCATCCTTGGTTTTATGAGGTGCTGTAGATTGAACCCAGGGCTTTGTCAAGCACTCTAATTATTAAATTAAGAATAACAGCTAGATACATAATAATTGTTGCATGAATCTTAAAAGGTCTTATTAATGAAAATAAACCTGGAGCAACATATTGGGGTAAATATTGAAAGATCAGAGAAGCAGAACAAGCCACAGCCACCTCACCTTGCCAATTCCTCAGCTGATCCTGTTTCCTCAGACTGGAAGCCTCTGAGTCCTCATCCAGAATGAGTTCTCAGCTGGACTGTGCTACTTAAAAGCCTAAAAGCTTAACCAGCTTCTAGTTCCTCATCTTCGTGCCTTAAATACATTTCTGCTTCCTGCCATCACTTCCTGGGATTAAAGGCATATGTCACCATGCCTGGCTGTTTCCAGTGTGACCTTGAACTCACAGAGATCTCTGCCTCTGGAATTCTAGGATTAAAGGCATGTGTGCCAACATTTTCTGGTCTCTATATCTAGTGGCTGTTCTGTTCTCTGACCCCAGATAAGTTTATTAGGGTGCACAATATTGTGGGGAACACAATATTACCACATTTCCCCTTTTTTGTCTAAAATTTAAAAAAGCTTATAACTAATATAAGAAAAACTATATCCAATAAGTATATACAATATATGCAGTCAAGAATTACATTAACGAATGTCTAGTCCATTAACATTTGACAGATTCAGACAAAAAAAAACCTTCATTATATATATTAACAATGTCCAGTCCAGTAACATTTGATAAACTCAGACAAAAAAATTCATTACTTATCCTATGTAAAACAAGTGGTTCCTTTTTTAAAGTAGATTCAATAATTGACATTTTATCTTATATTCATATTCTCTCTTTTTCATAATAGATTCAATAATGTACTTTTTGTCATTTTTATATCTTTCCCTTTTTCTTTTTAGAGTAGATTCAATGATCTACCCATTTATCCTATTATTTCTTTATCTTCTTTCTCAGAGCTTCTTGGAATTCTGGATACTTCAAAACAAGGCAACTTTATCGCAAACAAGAATCCTGAAGTTGGAGCAGGTATGGAGGCAGGGACAGGGGGGCACAGTGTCACCTCTTCACAGAGCAGGCCACAGCACTGGGTAGCTCTAGCTTTTCTTCAAGGGTGTGTTATCCTTGCCCTGAACAAAATCCTGGGCATGCCCTAGTGCTTTTTTTTTTTTTTGTCACTTCAAAATAATAAATAATTTATTAGAAAAAAAAAAACAAACATATTACCTAGCCAGGTATGGTAGCAAAGGTCATTATTCCCAGCACACAAAAGGTGGAGGCAGGTGGATCTCCTTGAGTTCAAAGTTATCCTGTTCAACATAGTTGGCTTCAGGCCAGCCAGCGCTACATAAAGAGACCCTGTCTCAAACAAACAAACAAACAAAAAATACCTGGGGACATTCCACAGCACTCAGCAGCAATGCCACCACCCTGTGGGCTTGTCAGAGACTCCCAATCGGACTGTCAAGTTTTGATTTTCCAGCTTGTCCTGAGCTAGTAGGAAAGTACTCTGCCTCTGTGGCTTAGTTGGTTAGTGGGATCAGCTATTAACTGATTAACTGAAAGATTATTTTTTGTTTGTGTTTATTTGGAGACAGGGTTTCAGCTCAGGCTGGCCTGGGACTCCTTATGTACCTGAGACTGGCCTTGAATTTCTGATCGTCCTGATTCTACCCCCTGCATGTTGGATTCAATGTGTGCTGCCCTTCCTGACTAAAATATACTACATTACCATTTATAGACTTTCTGGAAACGGTGGAGCCGTGGGAGCAGAAAACAAACCAGTAGTTGTTGTGAGCTAGATGTGGGATGAGTGGACTAAGAAAGGTAATGAGGGAACTTTGTGGGGCAGTGAAAACCTTCGGTTTGATTGTTCTCATAACCGTATGCCTCAAGAGAGTGAGTTTTACTGTATGTAAATTGTACCTCAATAAACTTGACTTTAAAAAGGAAGGGCAATGAACATGGGATATAGCTTAGTTGGTAGACTGCTTGCTTAGCATGCAGGAGATCCTGGGTTCCATTCCCAGCCCTACAAAAATTAAAGAAAAATAAAGGCTGTTGCAGCAAAGAAATTAACTCAACACACTAGTCTCTCTACTATTGATTACATGTAAAGTTTTTACAGTAAACATTTTAAGAAAATAATCTGTGTGTGTACACATACCATTAGTAAATAAAATAGCACTTTTGAACACTTACAGAAATCACTCTTTCCTTATTAATGTGACAATCTTCCAGAAGGTCTTGGCTATGAGAAAGTGTGTTATGTACGTTTTTTTGCCCAGGATAAAAGACTCGTTTGTCTATGGCTCCAGTGGCCCTCTCTGGAGTCCTTTCTCCAAGTTCAACCATCATCCATCCCCCAGATGCTAGGTGCCAGCTGCCATTGAAGGGGCTAGGACCCAAGCTATGCATGTTTCTGCTGCTGAGGGAACAAGACACAAAGCGCAATGATGTGAGCCAGAGAGCTATGACATGGTAAGCAAATGTCTGCCCAGAGGCCCTGGTGGAAATAAGTAAGGAAAAACTGGACGGAGGAGAGGATGATTGAGTGTGTTAGTAAGAGCCCCGCTGGAAACAGATGGAAGGCAGGGTACTCAAAGGGTGCTCAAGGGCCTGTTCACAGGGACGCGTTATGGGGTCATAATGGGTCACTGAGACCCCTAAGGGGCAGGGGAAGAAATAGTTTCCAGCACCCAAGGAAAGGGAGCCCACCATAGGAAAATTCCAACAGAAGCTGTAGTCTCCCAGAAGAGAACGAGAAGCGAATGGACACCCCACTTCACTCCTCTTTTGCTCCCAACTTCCTGTCAATCAGGTGAACCCACAGAAAGCAGAGGGCTAAGAGAACCATTGATGGAGCCCAGGAAAGCTCAGCCATCCAGATATGGAACAAAGTGGAAGAGACAGGAGGAAATCTACAGAGGCAAGTGGAAAATTTTCAGCACCCAGCTGTTAGGGAGAGCAAGCAAAAGGAAGGCCTGGAGCACAGAGAGCCTGGTATACACATCCAGAGACCTGGTTGTCGGGGAAAGGGAGAGAGTGATGAGAGATAACATTTGAGATATCCCAGGAGCAGACTATAGAGAGCTACATACAACCTGATAAGCTTTAATTTTATTGTACAACCAATAAAAAGCCTTTGAAGTAGAGAAATGATGTCACCAGATGGCATTAGGTCTTAGCGAATTGTCCTGGCTGAGGCAGGAGGAATAAAGTGACCTGCACGCTGAGAGTAAGTAGGGAGGGGAGTTGATAGGGCTGAGCCAGAGTGGCAGGAAGGACGGAGGTGAAGAGTGCATTTGGAATGTGATGGGCATTTTAAAGGAGCATTTCCACAAAACAACTTCCCCACCAAATGGCATAAAACAATGCCCATTTTTCCGTCTCCTAAATTTCCCTGGGTTAGAGATTTAATTGGGATGTGGAGGGTCTCCACTCCACAGCCTGGGTCCCAGCTGGGACGACTGGAATGCTGGAGCAGGTTATCTCTGAACAGCTGGGGGATGGAACCACCTGGGAACTTCTACATTCACACATCCAGGCTGGGGCTAGGAGAATGCCCAAGGCTGGGCTCAGCTGAGTCTAAAGATAAAACACTGGCATGTGGGGCTGAAGAGATGGCTTAGTGGTTAAGAGTGCACCCGTGTCCAGCAGCGCACACACACACACACACACACACACACACACACAGCCTGTAGTTCCAGCTCCAGGAGATCCAACACCCTCTTCCAGGCTACATACACAGCATACACTCACACAGAGACACACATAAATAAAATAATTTTTAAAATATACTGACATGTGGCCTTGCCTTGTGACTTGGGCCCCTGCAGCAAGGACACTGAGCTGAAAAAAGACACCTCAAAGGTGTGTATGACAAGAGGGTGTTCCCAAAGAACAGAGGAAGATACAAGGCCCATTAGGACCAACCCTGGGAAATAATACACAAAATTACTGTGCCATGCTGCGCTGCATAGATCAATAGTCACAGCCCACTGGATTCAAAGGAAGGGAACCCGGAGCCTACCTCTCTATGGAGGGGCAACAAATTTAGCACCATACAAATGAATTAATCATCTAATTGCTCCAATCTGGTCCTCTTGTCAAAGTTAAATAGGTCAAAGATTCACGAAGTTCACCAGGGCAGGCCTCTTCCAGGCGTAAGCTCTGGGAGCTGGAGGGGCTGGTGAG